TGAGGAGTGCTTGGTGGGGTTTGAACCATCATCATTGAAGTTAGTAGCCCAATAATTAACCCACTGTACCATCATGGATTCTCTAAGGATAATTGTTGTATGCTGTCAAATCAATTTGGACTTATAGCAACCCTGCATAGTGTTTCCGATGAGCAGCTGATGGGTGTGAACTGTTGACCTGGTGGTTAACAGTTCATTGTTTATCCTAAAGTGCTACACCAGGACTCTTAAGAATAATATTGTTAGGGTCCACCCAGAAGTACCCTGAAGAAAGGCCTGGTGATCTCGTTCTACATAATCAGTCATTGAAAAGTCTGTGGAGCACAGTTCTGCTCTACCACATTTGGAGGTCACCATGAGTTGGAGTCAACTCACAGGAACTGGTTTTCTGACCACATCTTGAGTATATCAGCCCTGAAAAATGGTCCCCAAATTTGAGCTACACTAGAATCACTGAAGGGCTTACATTTCTGGGTCCAGCCTGGATGTCTGATTCTGTAACTCTGACAAGTCCTGAATTTGTATATCTAACAAGGGTTCCCATCATGCTGGGGTGACTGGTCTGAGGACCACACTGTAAGGACCACTGCCCAGAGTTTTCCAAATCTGCCTCCCACTCAAAGGCTTCCTGTGCTTCTTAATGCTGCTAATGGAACACCTCTAGTCCTGTCTGTAGACACTGAAGAGTAAGCTCTGCGTTTAATGACCCGATCCAGCAAAGGAGCTCTCACCTGTCTTCTTCCTGTGTCTGTCTGATGGGTAGGGTACATGGCTGGGATTCTGGATACTAACATGTTGGGATGGGAGGCTTTCTAGGGGCTCCAAGTGAGATCCTGAGGCATGTGAGGGTAGGGAAGGGAGATGGGGCTTGTGAGCCACTGAGACTTCAGAGCCTAGATCCTAGACCTCGGACTCAAGGTTCAGATTTTGAATCACAGTTGCCAGTGTGAGTGTAGGGGAGGCCCTGTTTTCCAAACCTCAGATCTCTTCTGTAGTGTGCCTCATATGCATTATTGATTTCCCTTGTCTTTAAAACTTGAGCCTCCAAGTTCCTGTTGACTCCCAAAACAGTAATGTCTGATGTTTGTTTAGAATTTGTGTGTGTACAGGCATTTCCCCAGTCATTCTCTCATCCTGCGCCCCAAGTGCTGTTCTCCTGCATCACCCACTTCTCAGGGACCAGAGAGGGAGGATCTTGTCAGCTCAGCTCAGGAGGCAGAGTCTACTTTTCCCTATAGTGTTGTAGACTCACCTTCCTCCTTTCCTTCTTCAGTCCCTCCCTCTTCTCTCTTCTCCCCCCCCCCACCTCTCCTCTCTCCTCTTTCTCCTTCACTCCCCTCCCTCCCTCTCTCTCCTTCTCCTTCCCTCTCCCCCTGCTTCCCACCTCTTTCCCTTCCCTCCCTCTTTCTCCCTTCCTCCTCCTTCCCTCCCTCTCATCCCTCTTTCCCTCCCCTCTGTCCATCTTCCCTCTTTACCTCCATTCTTCCTTCCATTTCTTCTTCTTTTTTTTTCCTCCTCCATTCCTTCCCTTTCCTTTCCTTTTTATCTTTTTGCATTTTATTGTGGTTCCTTAGCTACACTTACTCCTTTGGAAATCTTCCTTTGTCTTACCTTATGAATTCCAGGCTGTCTCCAGTCCCCGCCCCCTCCCCTCCTTTTCAAGGCCCATGCCCTCCCCCCAGGGGTTTGGGGATGACTTCTTAATTCTTAATGCATACAAACAACTAGCATTTAAATAATATTTTTTAGTTTACAAAATATGTCTATATTAATTGCTTTTCTGAAAGAAGTATAAGCATCCATTTTGCAAGTGAGGAATTTAAGACCAGAAGAGGTTGAGTGATTTCTCTAGTGGTGCCTGGGTGTGTGGGGGTGCATTCAAGGGCTGTTGCTTTCTCTGTGAAGTCACTGTGGAATGGAAGGCAAGTCCAGGTGGGGTATGTGAGAAGGGATGTCATGGTGTGTGCGTTCTCTGAGGCTGAAATTGGGTGACGCTAAAATATGAAACACCGGGATCAGGTTGGCTCTTCACTGGGGACATGATTTTCTTGAGGGCAGTGGCCCATGTAGTGAAACTGTCTGAATTTCATTATTTGAAAATGGGAGTTCCTCAGAATGTGTCTTTCTGAAATACCAGAGTGATTACCTTAACCATATAAAATAAGATTTTAAAAGAGATGACTTTGGGAGTCATTACTCTCTTGGAATCAGAAAATACTTACCTCTAAAGAGTCTGCTGGTCAGTTTCTTAGGCAGAAGAGGCTGGCACCATGCCACCAGTCTTATAAAACCAATGGGCAACTTGTTAGTTTCCTTGGGAAGCGCCAATTTTGGAACTAGGTTCATGGTCTTGAATTCCAGATCAGGACTCTAAGGCTCAGTGCATCTCAGGCATTTGCCCAAAGTCCTCAGTCCTAAGTGATGGCAAGAGGCTTTGGAGCTATGTCAGGGCACTCTAGAGATAATTATCTTCTCACAAAACTATTTTATTTCTTGGGTATCCTGTACCCCAAGACTAATTTTCAATAAGAGAGATTCTCCACTATTTCCTTTTGGACACACACAGAGCTTTGTGGTGTAGCCAGCCCCGCTGTCAAGCCTCACATCCCTTGATTCCATTGACCACACCACTTCCTTTCAGGAAACCCTGATCCTTCTGTGGTGCTCCCCATTAGGGAAAATTTCAGTGTGGCCCTCAGATTTTATAAGGGAGCTTGAGTGACATGGGCAAGTTTGCACTGGACTGTTACACTAAAGACTGGTAGCTCAAAGGTACCATGGAAGCAAAGGCCTCTGTTAAGGTTATTAGTGGTGGGGTGCAGTGGAGGCAGTTCTAGGCTGTGTTATTATAGAAGCAGATCACCGGGGTTTTCGCCAGCAGAGCCTTTGGCTAATCTTTCAGTTAGCAGTGGATTGCTTCATTGTTGAGCCACCAAGGACATGCTGTGAGGCAGCTCTCTTCTGTAACACACAGAGTTCAGGAAGTCAAAGCCAACTTGGTGGCAGTATCCCACCTCTCTGTACCTTAGTCTCCACGTTGGGAGCAGCAGAATGAACCTTGTTTGACAGTCACAAGAAGCTTGTCATACACCCAATGACCAGGTACAGTGTCACGTCATTTTCCTGGCTGTGGCAAGCTTATCATCCTGGTGGGATGGCTGTGATGCCAGAGTGCCAGGAGGAGAGGCACTTGGAGTCCAATTGTTGTTGTTAAGTGCCATCAAATCAGTTCCGACTCTTAGCAACCCTGTATAGGGTTTCCAAGGAGTAGCTGGTGAGCTTGAACTGCTGACCTTGTGGTTCAAGCTGACCTTGCAGTCCAGTGCATTAACCCACAGCGCCATGCCAGGACTCCATAGAACCCCCTTTTATGGAGCATGTGCTCTGGTCCCTACTAGCCTCCCCTGGTTCTGGCAGTGAGCCTGTGGCAGCTGTTAGCATGCACACTTGGACCTGACACACAGCCTCTCAAGGATGGCTCTTCTTCGGGTCACAGAGTTGGAACAGTGTGTCTGTTGTCAGGGTCAATGGTTCTGTCTGTTTTCTCTTGGCTCCTGTGCTGACTTACATTACACAGAAGGATGAGGCAGTAGAAGGCCCTCATCAAAATTGGTTGTGTGTGTACATCCATGGCATGAGTAAGGAAGACCCAAGAACTGATGCCTTTGAATTATGGTATTGAAGAAGAATATTGAATTGATTGGGGACTGTCAGAAGAATGGACAAATCTGTCTTGGAAACAGTATAGCCAGAGTACATCTTAGCAGCAATGATGGCAAGAACTTGTCTCACATACTTTGGACCTGTTCTCAGGAGGGACCTTGGAGAAGGACATCATGCCTGGTAAAGTAGAGGGTCAGTGAATAAGAGGAAGATTCATAATGAGGTGGATTTGCACAATGGCTGCAACAGTGGACTCAAATAAAGCAACAACTATGGGGATGGAGCAGGACAGGACTGGGAAGTGTTGTTGTTTTCTGTTGTACATAGGGTCTCTGTGAATTGGAACTAACTCAATGACATCTAACTACAACAACATATATACATGCATCTTAATTTATAGTGAAAACTCCTGTTGTAACTGCCTTTGAGTCAGCTCCAACTCATGGCTTTGTTCACGGCATCTGTTGTAGATGAGACTGTTGTGACCCACAGGAGTCTCATTGGCTAGTGTTTGGAAGTAGATCCCTGGGAAGTCCCTCTTAGTTTGGAAGCGCCACTGAAAGCTGTTATGCATCACAACAACACACAAGCCCTCAGGAGCATTCAGGTGGGGCTGTGCGCCTAAGTGAGGTACATTGGCCAGGACCTGGGTCTCCTGCGTGGAAGATAACAAATTCTAACACTGAACCACCATTAGGAATACAGTAGATAATCTGACTTGCCTTTGAAAAAATAGTAATCCCTGTTTTATGAGCTTGGTATGAGGACTGAATAAGATGGCATCGGTAGATATACGCTGGGCATTTCACAGATGCTATTTCTAGCATCCATTAACATATCCTTTCATTAATGAGTGGATGGCCTCATTCCTGGTGGGGCAGGAGGGAGCTGACCTGAAGGTGAAGGTCAGCTGTGGAACGCTTGGATCTGAATCACATGGTGTCGGAGATAGAAAGATTCCAGAGTTCATTGTTTTCAACTTCCCCCTCCTAACTTCATCCCTTCCAGTTGCTCCATTCTCATCTTTGTCATATGCTTCTAAGTATGATTGAGTAGAACAACAGTTGTTCAACCCAGAACATTCTGGAAAACCCTGCTCTCTCCAGTAGTTCTCCCCAGTAGGCATTTGCGTTGTCTGGGGACATTTCTAGTTGTTGCAAGTTGCAGGTGCTACTGACATTTACAGATTAGAGGCCAGGGAGGTAGCTAAACATCTTACAAAATGCAGGAACCTCCAGCCTTTCAGGTAGCAGCAAGCATGTTAACTATTGGCATCCTCCAGGACTCCAGCACTGTTATCCTTGTTACTAACTGTTGGTCTCTTCCTCTCATTCTAGGGCTCCCTGGGCCTGCCTGGTCCCCCTGGGAGAGATGGCAGCAAAGGCATGAGGGTACGTTCTCTTCCCACCACCCTTCCCATGAGTGAGGCAGCACAGGGCTGGGACCTGCTGCTCCCCATCCTTGTATGGGGGCCAAGCTCTGGGTCTCCCTTCCCCACTAAGTGGCCACAATATAGGTACCATGGTTTCCAAGGGCCCTAAGCTGAACTTAGTCTTGGTGGGAGCAACAGCATTTTCTGGCTTGCCTTGTCTGCTTGTCCTTTGAGCTGGCTTCTCACTTGGTTAACCAGCAGCCCTGTGTTGGGACTTACTGTTTGTCCCCTGTTGTGTGGATTTGGGGAAGACCTGTTTGTAGTTAGAGGAGTCAGAATGTCACCCCAGTGGCACCCACATCCTGCCCATCCCTCCAGACCCCACCTCTTCCTTCTGCTTGCCTCTGAGACAGAAGATATTCCAGAAACCTGGGCACCAAAGGATCTCAAGTAGGATCCATCTGTCCCTAGGGAAATAGGGACCCCTCTTTTATTTCAACAACCCCAGTGAGAATTGGTTCTGGGTTCCCCACCTCTTGGCCCCTTTGTTATTCCAAATTCACATGAGCAGCCTCAGAGGGGGACACTGAGGGGGGGTACCCCATAACTCCACATTTGGGCATCACCTCAAGACAGGAAGTCTGGAGTCCAGACCATAAGTGAATGTGGAGCTCCAGAAACGGCTGGACTCCCTCCCTACAACCCTCCCCCTGCAACATTGCCTGGAGTCAAATTCCTCCTCATGAGGGCTGAGGTCTATGTGACCCTGTTGCTGTGTTCCATCTGAATTGGATTCTGGGGTCCCTAACTGAGCTCCTGCCCCATAAAGTGAAGTTGTTCCTCTGGCCCCTGCGAGTGCATTGCTTCTGGGGTGAGTTCTGTGTTCCAGGTCTCTATTCCATGTCCCCCACCCCCACTTACTGTGACCAGGTCTGTTTCTCCTGCAGGGGGAGCCAGGGGAGCCAGGGGAGCTGGGGCTGCCAGGTGAGGTAGGCATGCGGGTAAGTATTCCTGGGGACAAGTGTCAATTCAGAGCACCACTGTTTTCCATGTAGTGAGCCCATTCAAAGGGCTCCCTCCCTACCCTTCCCCTGCAACTGTACCCAGGCTTTGTATATGGATAGCCACACAAATTCATTGATCAAGCCCACTGTGTTTAAATTCCATTTTCCAATAAACTCTTTAAAGCCATATATATATATATATATATATATATATATATATATATATATATATATATATATATATATATATATATATATATGTTTTTCCTAAATTATCTCAAAAAACATATATATATAATTTTTTTCCCCTAAATTATCTCAAAATGGGTTCACGACTCTACAATTTGTCATTTTCATTTAAGAAACATTCAGATTCCGAGACCTGCCAGTACAGATAGATCTAGCTCATTCTCTGAGGAACCCTGGTGGCACAGTGGATAAGCATTCGGCTGTTAACTCAAAGTCTGGCAGACAGAACCCACCAGCCACTCTTTGGAGAAAGATGAGGCAGTCCACTTCTGTAGAGATGACAGCGTGGGGAACCCTGTGGGACAGTTCTTCTCAGTCCTCTAGGGTTGCTGTAAGTCAGAACTGACTCTCTAGTAAGGAGTTTAGCTTTGATGGAGTTCCTAAGGAACCCTGGTGGCACAGTGGTTATGTGCTTTGCTGCAAAGCAGAAGACCAGTGGTTCAAGCCCACCAGTCACTGTGCAGGAGGAAGATGTGGCCATCGGTTTCCATAAAGTTGGAAGCCTTGGAAACCCAGTGGAACCCCGTTCTACACTGTCCTATTGGGTAGCTGAGTCAGAATTGAGTCAGTGACCGTAGGCTTGACTCATTCTCTTATTAAATGCATGGCTTTCCATGATATGAACGCATCATCATTTATATCCCTTGTCTCTCTTTCTGGCCCAGGAGGTGGTTTCTACTTTCATTGTTTTTTTGTTAAAATCCACAAGGCAATAAATGCATGTGTGTATATATATGAGATGCCTCCTTTTATATTGTATTTTTATTTCAGCAGGATTTGTTGTTGTTGTTGTTAGGTGCCATCAAGTCAGTGCTGACTCATAGTGACCTTATGCACAGCAGAGCAAAACACTGCCCGATCCTGGGCCAACCTCACTACTGTTGCCACACTTGAGTCCATTGATGCTGCCACTTGGCCAATCCATCTCATTGGGGGTCTTCCTCTTTTTCTCTGACCCTCCAACTTACCAAACATGTTATCCTTCTCCAGTGACTGGTCCCTCCTGACAATATGTCTGAAGTATGAGAGATGAAGTTTGGCCATCTTGGCCTCCAAGGAGCACTCTGGCTGCACTTCTTCCAAAACGGATCTGTTGACAGCCCGTGGTACTTTCAACAGGATAGCTACTAAGAACTGGAGTGTTTTTGTCTGAAGGAATGAACATTTTTATTCTAATAGGCATTAATGCTGCTGTTATTATTAAGTGCTGTCAAGTCAATTCCAACTCCTAACAACTCTGTGTAGGGTTTCTGAATTGCAGCTGATGGATTTGAACTGCCGACTTTGTGGTTCACAGTCCAGTGCTGATCCTACAGGAGTCCATAGATGTTTGTTTTAGATGCTAAAAGATATTGTCAAAATATTTTACTAGATTTTAAAGTAAATATCACAGCAAGATCAGCATTGGACAACAAGGTATGTTTGAATGACAAGGTCTGCAGTTCAAACTCACCAACTGCTCCTTAGAAATGTTATACAGGGTCGCTTTGAGATGGAACCAACTCAACAGCACTTAACAATAACAGCAATTGTTCTAATAGACTTTTGTTTTTTGGTGTTAAGTGCCGTTCAGTCGGTTCCGACCCATAGTGACCCTGTATAGGGTTTTCAAGGAGCGGCTGGTGAGTTGAACCAGTGACCTTGTGGTTCAAATTAAGTTTGAAGTCCTGTGCATTAGCTCACAGTGTCACACCAGAAGTCCAGTAGACTTTAATACTGGTATTAACAGCTATTAAAATAAACTGATGGTGTCTAATAACATCTCCTAAAACTATAAATGCCTAGTAACATCTACTAAAACAAATTGATATCTGCTAAAGGAGCTCTGGTAGCATAGTGGCTACGAATCAGACTGATAACCTCAGGGTCAGCAGTTCGAAACTACCAGCTGTTCCATGGGAGAAAGATGAGGCTTTCTGCTCCCATAAAGATTTACAGCCTCAGAGTACAGCATCGCTATGAGTCGGAACCCACCCCACGGCCCATAACAATAACAATAGCGAAGTCTATTAGATATCAGTTTGTTTTAGTAAATGTTAATAGACATTTATTAATTGTTTCAGCAGATGATATTAGATATCATCAGTTTATTTTAGTAGTCATTAATACCAGTATCAGTAGCTGTAAAATCAACTGTGACCCATGCGCCCCTGTGCGTGTGTCAGAGGAGACCAGTGCTCCATATGCTTCTCGGTGGCTGGTTTTTTATAGTTAGATTCCACTCATGGCACCTCGTGTGTATCAGAGTAGAACTGTGTCCACAGGACTCTCAGTGGATGAGTTTTCATAAGTAGATCCCACTCATGGTGCCCCATGTGTATCAGAGTAGAACTCTGTCCCACAGGGTTTTCAATGGCTGGATTTTCAGTAGATTCCACTCATGGTACCCCCATGTGTGTCAGAGTAGAACTGTGCTCCACAGGGTTCTCAATGGATGATTTTTCATAACGAGATTCCACTCATGGTGCCCCAATGTTTGTCAGAATATAGTTTTCAATCAATGATTTTCCATATAGTTTTCAATGATTGATTTTTCAGAAGCAGATCACTAGATCTTTCTTCTATCGTGCCTCTGGTTAGCAATTCAGTACATTATCTCCTGATGTTAATGAATGTTGGCAAATGATTTTAGTAGATGTGGACCACTGTGTCACAGTGTGGGCAGTACCTGGTCGGATGAGAGGCAGCTGATCTCCTCCTCGATCAAGCATTGACTGATAGCCACTCTGGTCTTGAATTTTCTGTTTGTTCCCACACCTTTTCTTTGTGAACACTATCTTGCAGGGGCCCGAAGGACCACCTGGACATCCCGGATCCCCCGGATATGTGGGAGCTCCTGTAAGTAAGAGCAGAGGGGGATGGGGGCTCCCTTTTCTAGGAATCAAGCCAGCCCCTCTGAAAGCCCCACAGCCAGGCACAATGGTCCCCCAGGATCACACCCTGATAATGAAGTGTCAGCCTCTTCCTTTAAGAAACCAAATATGCCTAAGTGCTGTGGTACTCAAGAATCTCCTGGGAAATAGATTTTAAATGCACATCTCTGGGCATCATTTCCAGCAAATGGAGCAGCAGATTTGGGCAGTGCCTAGAAATCTGCATTTTAAACCAGCATCACAGGGGTTTCTGACACTGACTCCAAAAAAACATGTTTGCCAATGCTGTTCAATCCACCTTAGATGAATGGTCAGATGAGTCTAAGGGCCAGAATGAGTCTTAGTCTGTGGCTTTGGGGGCCTTGATGACCAAACCAGGTAGTCCAACACTTGGAGCTCATCCATCAGGGGAGCAGCATCATGGTAGAACAGGGTCTCCCCATCACTCTGCCTCACTCGCTGTGGGCTGCAAGTGACAGGCAGTGTCTACATAGGGCTTGGGTGGTGAGAAGAGAGATGTTCACTCGAGATGTTACCACTGTTCTCCTTTTATCTCCAGGGTCTCCAAGGAGAACGGGGTGAAAAGGGGTCCCGAGGAGAAAAGGTACTTACCTTCTACTTCAGTCCATACCTGCTTAATGCAGGTGTGTGTGAGTGTGTACAAGTGAATGCAGGTGAGTGTAAAGATGGGTGCAGATGGGTGTGTGTGTGTAGGTGTGCAAGGTATGTGCAGGTGTGTTCAGGTGCACACCATGTGCAGATCATCTGTGGGTGGTACAGGTGGGGCAGAGGGAACCAGTGAGAGAAGGTGTTTGCGTCACCTGACATGTCGGTTCTGGACCAGTAAGGCTGTGCTCTCTTACCTGCAAAAGATGGACACCCTCTCCCACCAAGGCAGAGCTTAGAGCCTGCAGACCAGAGAGGGGGGCTGAGAGGCTCCTGGATTGGGGACTCAGAGGGTCCAGGCTGCTGCTGTTGACCCACATCTCTCAGCTCCTCTGACTCTCAAACAAGCAGGTTGTAGAGATACTTCCTGCCCCCGAATAAGAGGGGGATCTCCTCACCTGTGTTTTCAGTGAGCTACACCTGAGCTTCACAACCAAGAGCTGTGAACTAGTCAAGCTGACATTCTTAACATGGATTGCCACAGCTGCCAACATCTTTGCATAGACAGAGGCCATCCATTCCTTCACAACCACACAGCCAGGTTCTAACAGAAGTGTCCTGAGCTGAAATTTGTCCCCATTTGCTAATGGTATAAAATTCCCCAGACTCAATTGGGTGGGAACCAAGCCTTGAAAATCACACCATCTCTGCTTTCCCAAACAGCAGCTGGTGCTGATTGCACATAACCTCTTTCCAAGCCAATTTTCAGAGTCCCTTAAGATATGTGGTCAAATGTTCCAAGAACTGGGCTTCTCTTCCTGCCCTAAGTCATGTTCCAGGCATCTTTCCAGCAGTCCACCCCGTTCTATCTTCCTCTGGTAGAAAAATTTTTTTAACTTCCTGAGGATTTATTTTCTTATTAAGTAATATAATTGCATTTCAATACATTTGGAAACCAGTGAAAACTAGCCTATAGCCTCATTTCCTTAAAACAACTACAGTGCACTTTCTGGCACATTTTTATACGTACTCTTCCACATTTGATTTATTTCTGCATAGTCACACACAATGCATTCAATTTAATGCCCCGTTGTCTCTATGTACACCATTTTCTCCATGCCACTGTAGCATTTTTATGACCTATTTCAAATGACTACACAATGTTTCATTGACTGAAGAAACCATAATTTATATAACTGGTCCTCTGTTATTGATTACTCAGGACTGTTTCCAGTGTTTTGGTATTAAAAAGAATGCTCCAATGAATGTCTTTCAAAGTTTTTGTTTGTATATATATATATTATTTTTTTTTCAATTTTAGGATTATTTCTGTAGGCAGGTTTCCCAGAAGTGAAATTACTAGTCCAAGAAAATGACCCTTTCTAAGCCTCTGGAAATCTGTTGCCAAGTTGTTTTCCGAAAGCTCCCTGGTAATTAGGGGAGGCAGGGACTAGATCTCAGAAGCTTGGTTTTTGGGTGTTTGCATACTAAATTTTAATAGTTATAACTGTAATAATCAAACAGTCTTTACCCAGGGTGGCTGGGACTTGTGTTTCTTGGTTCTCTGTAGACTTTGGACATGGTTCCACATACAAGGGAACTTCAAAAAAGTTCGTGCAAAAATGGAATGAAAAGATAATGAAAGAGTTCCATGAACTTTTTGACGCCCCCTTGTATGTGTCTGCCAGTTCATTCAGGCTCATCTGCGTTCCTTGTCTTGGTGTCGTGGAAACCTAGAAGTGGACTTTAGAGTAACTGAGGTCTTAGGCTCAAGGCAGTAGGGCTTGGTGGCAGCACAGTGGGCAGCAACATGGCCAGTAGAGCCAGGCTCTGATTTGATACTCCTGAGAGGAAGCCAGAGGGAATTGGGGGCCCTCTCCAGGAATAGCAAGGAGACAGTTGAGGTTCAGTGTTCAAAGAGTGTTCTGAAGGCCCAGTTGTGTGGAGGTCAGGTTCTGACTCACTGAGTAGACTGCCTGGAGGTCCAGGTCCGTCCCCTGGCCTGAGGTTCAGAACAGTCCTCAAGGCATTCATTCTTCCCTGAAGCAGCCTGTGTGTCTCCTATGCACATGCCCTGTACCAAAGGCAGGATGTCCTGAGGAGACAGGGCTTGGTGTCCCTGCTTTCCTCAGGATCCTAAGAGCTTAGTGGGCAGACAGATGCTTAGAAACAAAACTCTGCAAGTGGATGTGGGAATCTGTGTGAGGTGCACCATGTTTACATAAGACCAGAATTGTAGATGGATCCCCATGAGCATGTTCCAAATCAACGAGTGTCTAGAAAATGTCGTGGTTATGAGACCGCATATCCTGAAGCCAGGTCTTCTGTAAGAAGGGACAAGATGAACTGAAGGTGTGGAAACTGAATTGGTTAGTTTCATCTGTCATTGTGGCCAGTTGTTTCGTCCACCATTAGTTTAGGTGTTGCTGTGAAGTATTTAGGAGATGTGATCGACATCTACAATCAGTTGACTTTAGGTAAAGGTTGATTTTGTTATGAAGTGCAGCTGAGTCGGTTCTGACTCACAAAGACCCTGTTTAAGGCTTCCAAGGAGTGGCTAGTGGGTTTGAACCACAGACCTAGCAGTTCACAGTCCGATGACCCTTAATAATGGGGTGGGCCTTAACTAATCAGTTGGAAGGTCTTAAAGGAAAAATTGGAGATTTCTCAAAGAATAAGTGAATGCCTCAAGACTGCAGTGCCATCTTTACTGCCTGTTAGTCTGCCCTACAGATTCTCAACTTGCCAGCCCTCAATTGTGTGCATCAAGTATACATGAGACCTAGTGGTCAAAGGGTTAAGTGCTTGGCTTCTAGCAAAAAAGTTGACAGTCTGAACCCACAAGCAGCTTCACAGCAGAAAGATGTGGCTGTTTCTCCTATAAAGATTGCAGTCTTGGAGACAGTTCTACTCTGAGTGCATTTTGGTTCCAAGGGGTTAGACTTTGTGTTCAAGTCACGGTATAAACACACATGAAATGGGAGAACCTGTGTATGTCTCCCCTAAAGCACATGTCCACCCCTGCTCTCACCCCCACCAGCCTAAGCTGCCTTCCATTGATTGTTAGCAGAGATCCACATGGAAGGTAGGCTTGCTGGAAAGAGGGAACAGATGACCAAGCAGAGGCAGGAAGGTGCAGAGTGTCCTGACCTGGCTGTGGAGCTGCTAGCTGTTGTGGGATGGAGACATTGTAGAAGAGGGACAAGAGGCACAACAGGCTGGCCAAGGTCATGAGTGGCACAGAGGAGGGACTTTATCCAATTTGGGGGGACATGACTTAGTATATGGAGTTCTGGTGTGGTGCTGTGGGTTAATGCACTGGACTGCAAGGTCAGTTTGAACCACAAGATCCATGGTTCAAGCTCACCAGTCACTCCTCAGAAACCCTATAGAGGGTCACTATGAGTTGGAACCAACTCAACAGCACTTAACAACAACAATAACTGAATATGTTTCTTCACTTTTGGAGATGGTTGGATGTTCTACTAATTTAATAAACCCTTGCTTATTCTATGTGAGGGGAAGAGAGGGAAGGAAATATACCACAGCTCCTCTCCTGCTCTTACTGCCCAGATCAGCATGGTGAAAGTACAGGACCCTCTAGAACGTGCTTTTGGTGGTATGAAAGCACCCTATACATTCGGAGGTCAGAACTACAACAGAGCCTCAGACAGAAGGCTTGAGGGTCAGGCTTGGGACAGTGACTACTGGCTTCCTCTTGAACGGTGTAAGCCAGGATGACCAACTCAGCTAGCCAAGGTTTGGTCTTCTTTACTGAAAATGAGAACAACTGTTGTCAGTTGTAAATCCAACAGGGCCTTTTTCGACACCTGGTGTTCACAAGGTACTCAGCTACAGTGCACAGTTTTATCCAACCCACATGGGGTCACCACAGTCAGAATGGACTCAATGACAACTGGTTCATTGGATGTTTTGTTAGGACAAGCCCCAAACAGCCAAGAAACCAATAAAAGCAGAGTAAAGAAAGAGAGAGAGGGAAGCTGTCTAGGACAAGGATTGAATCTCCTTTAATGTCCCTAAACACACACTTCCCTCTCAATCAAAGGATGTGAACATCAGAAGAGACCTTGTTGTTGTTGTTAAGTGCCGTAGAGTCATAGCGACCTTGCATAGGGTTTCTGAAGCTGTTGAGTCTTTACAGGAGCAGAAAGCCTCATCTTTCTACCACAGAATGGCTGGTAGTTTCAAACTGATGACCTTGAGGTTAGCAGCCTGACTTGTAACCATTATGCTACCACAGCTCCTTAGAAGAGATCTTAGAGATCATATAATACATCCACTTCTCTGTCTTCATTGCTTAGTCGTTGGCTGATTCTCCCACTTGTACCTTATCTCTCTCCTCCATCCCTCTGTTCAACTTTCACACACCCCTCTCCTCCCACGAAACACCTCTTCTGCTTGTGTCTTTCTCTCACTTTCTTCTTTCCTTTTCCCACTTTGTTCTTCGCATCCATTCATTGTTTCTCTTCCAAGTGCCCTGTCATCGAGTTGCTTCCAACTCACAGGGACCCTATAGGACAGAATGGAACTGCTCAGTAGGGTTTCCTAGGCTGAAATATTTATGGGAGCAGATCACCAGGTCTTTCTCCCATGGAATGACTGGTGAGTTCTAATCCTGAACCTTTCAGTTAGCAGTTGGATGTGTAACCACCGTACCATCATATGCAGGCATTGTTCTAAGCATTTCACATATTTGGCATCACAGCATCCTCACCATCATTTTGTAAGTATTCCTATTGTCCCTATCGTGGAGCTGGGAAACCAAGTCACCAAGATGCTAAAACATTGGCTCAGTGTCACAGATTGGGAGTGGGAACGTCGGGATCTGAGCCTGTGCCACCTGTCCTTGCATCTCTGCACCTTGGAAGAGTCCCTGCTCATACTCACGTCCAGACCAGATGCCAAACCAGTGAACAGGGTCAAAAACCTGTCTCTCTTGTGTTTCTGTGGCCAACACAGTGGCAAAACCCAACAACAACACAACAAAGCTGAATGTGAAGACTTTAGGTGGGCATGCTAGTTATGAAAAGTGTCATGCCCAAACCTGTTGCTCTCAAGGCTATTCCAACTCATAGTTGGAATATGACAGGGTGGCACTTTCCATAGTGTTCCCTAGACTAAGAGTGCCTGGTCTTTCTCCCCTGGAATGGCTGATGGATTTGAATAGCCAATCTTACAGTTAGCAGGTGAGCACTTAACCACTGCATCCTCAGGACCCTCCCTCCCTAGTGCTTCCACTCCACATCATGTCACTGTCTTTTTTTTTGGCGTGAGACCCTGTCCCAGACACTGCTGACTTCTCTCTCTCTTTCCTTATCTGTATCTCTGCTCCCTCTCAAATGGTTTCTTTTTCCCACCCTTGCTCATCTGCTCCTCTTCTTCCTCCTGTGAAGGAAAGTGCCACCTGACCCCACTTCAGCTGTGTCCACCTGACCCCGTCCCACTGTGCTGTGTAGCGTCATACATTGCTGGCACAGTGTCCAACTAAATCCACCATCCACCTTGCAGCTGTCTTCAGTTGCAGCTAGGGAAAATCTTAGCTCCAGTCTCCCCTGATCTTGAAAGAGGAAGTGGAGACTTGGGTAACAAGAAGACTCCTCTACTTCAAGGTACCCCAAAACCCCGCTGCCATTGACTCGATTCCAACTCATATCTACCCTATTGGGCAGAGCAGAACTGCTCCATGGGGTTTCGGAGACAGTAAATCTTTACAGGAGCAGAAAGTCTCCTCTTTCTCCTAGAGTGGCTGGTGGGTTTCAGCTGCCAACCTTGCAGTTAGCAGCCCAAAGTTTAACCCACTAAACCACCAGGGCTTCTTCTACTTCAAGATGTTGTTGTTATTAAATGTGGTCAAGTCAATTCAAAGCCATAGCCACCCTATGCACAACAGAACAAAACACTGCTTGGTCCGATGCCATCCTTACGATTGTTATGTTTGAGCCCATTGCTGCTTCCACTGTGCTGATTCATCTCCTTGGGGATCTTTCTCTTTTCCTCTGACCCGCCACTTTACCAAGTATGTTGTTCTGCTCCAAGGACCGATCCCTCCTGATAACATTGCACTAGAGACTAAGTCTGGCCATTCTGGCTTCTAAGGAGCATTCTGACTATGCTTCTTCCAACACAGATCGGTTTGTTCTTCTGGCAGTCTATGGTACTTTAAGTATTCTTCTCCAACACCATAATTCAAATACATTGATTCTTTTAAATCTTCCTTATTCATTATCCAACTTTCCTACTTCACGACAGCACTTGTAGAATGGAGCCTGGCCACACTGTTTCCCTTGTCATGAAGCCCTGTGGAAGCGCCAGTACTGGGTGGTGTTTAGATGTTTTATAGGGTACAAGGATGAAGATTGTGTCTTAGTCCTGGTTCCATCACCACATTGTATATGCACTCAAAGCTTGTCACTTTCCTCACCTGTAATGTGAAGTGCTCTAAGTCCTGTATAGTTCAGCCATCCAGGAATCCAGAGAAGAGGCCAGCAGGCTGCCATGCTGCCTTCTGCTCAGACCCCAGGGAGGAGAAGTACATGAGAAAGGCTCAGGAGACCCAGAGTCTGTGTCAGTACCAGCTACCTAGCTGGGCATCTCTCTGGCCTATGACCTGTACTTTTTGACCCCTAACACTGCACACTCCAGGGACATTATGTGCCCTTTGACTCTTCTGTATCCACAGGTACTGCTGGGAAGTGGATGCTGTTTTAGGACCTAGTGCTGTTATCACTGAAATTCCAAACAGAGATTTATTCTCACTTTGTTATTGTTGTTGTTAAGTGTCATCCAGTCAGTTTTACTCATAGCGACACTGTTTAGGGTTTCCAAGGAGCAGCTGGTGGCTTTGAACCACTGACCTTGTGGTTAGCAGTTCAGTGCTTATCCTACAGTGCCATACCAGTTTCTCACACTTTAGGAAGCTATAAGTCTGAATTCTGGGCACCACGAATAGGGAAAGATTTATCTCTCTCTGTTGGCTCTAGGGGCAAGTTCTCATCTCCTTTCAACATCTGCGGGCCTGACATGCCTTAGAGATCTTCATGCATCTTGGTGTTAGTCTTCTCTTGGGTCTAGTTCTTAGCACAAGGACTCAGGGGCCAACACACTCTGTTCCCAGTTCTTCTTTCTTGGTGGTACCATGCCCTGTGATGTCTGCTTGCTTCTTTAATCTCTTTTATATCTTCAAAGATACTGATACAAGATTCCTACGTCATTAACATCATTGTTCTTGCTGTTAAGTACCCTCCAGTGACCCTGACTCAGAGTGACCCTGTATGGGGTCTCTGAAGTTTTAAATCTTCTCAGGAGTAGAAAGCTTCAGCTTCTCCTGTGGAGCAGTGGCATGCTTGAATCGCAGACCTTGTGGTCTGCAATCTAGTGCTTACTTTACATAACCAATGTACTCCCCATTGACATCATAGAGGTTAGGAATTACAACACAGAGGGTAATTACATCTGATTGCAAACTTAAGGGTAGTTACATAATGCTAAGAATCATGTTGTTGTGGGGTGAAGACCCGTCAGTCTGGTTCATAGCAACCTCATGCACAACAGAACAAAACACTGACCAGTTATGTGCCGTCCTCACAATTGGTACGGGTGAGCTCTTTGCTGCCGCCACTGTGGCAGTCAGTCTCCTTGAATGACTTCCTCTTTTTCACTGCTCCTCTAATGAGAAACACAGACTGACCAAATTGACACATGTTTGGAGAGGTAACAAAATTCAGTCCATCCCTCTTCAGACAGAGACTGTGGGATGGTGACCATGTGCCTAGTCTTCATTTCTTCACTTTTCTTCCTTTTACTAGGGGGAGCGAGGCCTGGATGGATTCCCTGGGAAGCCAGGGGAGGCAGGACAACAGGTAGGTGGTGCTGATGCTGCTTGGCTGGGTGTTACCAGAGGACAGGAAAGTCTGCATCCTGACGCAGGGTCCTGAAGAACCTGGCTCTATTATAGGGGCTCCAGCAGTAAGGCCCCCTGAGTCCTTCAATGTCCATGCTGGGAGGCATTCTGAAAGACAGACTTTAGTGCATCCAGGTTACATTAAACAATGTGACACTTTTATAGGAGGTCACTTCAAAAAGCTCAAGGGCTATCTCATCATCATTGAATTCAATTGTTTCCTGAACTTTTAAAGCCTGTTTGTGTGAATGCACAGGCATGAACCACTGACCCTATTTCAGATGATGTAAGTGTACTCATTGCAATCTTATCCCTGAGAATAAAAGATTAGAAGCAGTCTAAATGTTCATCAATAAGAAAATAGTTGAATAAAACCCAGGTGCTTGAATGGTCTGAAGATGTGAAAAATAACTGAGAGGTGTGAAAAATGAGCTGACATGAGTGGTTTAGAACAGGGCTGGGAAATGTCCAGCCTGTGGGCTCTATAAGGCTCATGAATTCATTTGGTCTAGCCCTGCCAAGGCAACTGCAGTTTCAGCAATCACGTTGTTGTTGTTAAGTGCCATTGAGTCAGTCCTGACTCACAGTGACCCTGTATAGGGTTTCGGGGAGCAGCTGGTGGGTTTGATCTGCTGACCTTGTGGTTCGCTTTCCAGTGCTGATCCTACTCGCCACACTAGGAGTCCTAGCCACCACATTGTTGTTGTTGTTATGTGCCGTGGAGTCAGTTCGGACTCATAGTGACCCTGTACAGGATTTCTGAGGATGTAAATCTTTACGGGAGCAGAAAGCCGCATCTTCCTTCTGTGGAACAGCTGGTAGTTTTGAACTGCTGACTTTATTGTTTACAGCCCGATTCATAACGTTTGACCAAATACAGCAGGCTAATTTTAATTTGATAATTTTGTATGGCCCAGGAATGATCTTATAAATTTTGGCAGAAAAAAGGTTCCTGACCCTTGGTCTAGAAGATATTGTTATTATTGTTGCTAAGTGCTGTTGAGTCAGTTCTGACCCATAGTGACCCTGTATAAGGTTTCTAAGGAACAAAGCTGGTAAGCTTGAACTGCCAACCCTGAAGGTAAAATGACTTTGCAGTTCGGTGCAAAAAACCACAGTGCAACACCAGGACTCCAGAAGATACAAGGGCGGCTCAAGAAGTTTGTAGAAAAAAATTGAGTTAAAATATAAGGGTATTATTTCACAAACTTTTTGCAACCCCCTTGTATGCTGTTAAGAGAAATATAAAGTGTAGAATAGTGTTGAGGGGAAAAAAATCTTTCTATATTTTATATAGGGATGGATTACCTTTAGAAGGATAAACCAGAAACAGGAAACCCTGTTGTCCCTGGAAATGGATTCAAAGTGACCAAGACATAAGACTGGGGAGGGAACTTTGGTGATGTTTACATTTTGAACCATGTAAAATATAATCTATTTTTTTAAATAACTAAATTCAGATATTTAAATGGTTAAAAAGTAAAGATTAAATAAAACTTAAAAATCATATATCTTCATTGAAGACAATTAGGGTAATTTCATATTACATAATATAATTTGGCATATGGCTACGTTAGCCAGTTAATTAATGTGTTTATAGAAATAGCAATATAAATGGATTAATATATACAATCATGAATTTAAACACAAATTATATTCAATATAAAGTAACCACAAATGAATATTAATTTCAGTACTCTCTATTAATATAAATTAAAGTCATGCTTGACATCATCACCTAGAATGAATACCTTCATTTACATTCATTTCCATTTCCTAATTTGCATAAGGAGTTCTGGTAACCTAGTGGGCTACCAACTGGGCTGCTAACTGCAAGGTCAGCAGTTTGAATCTACCAGCCGCTCTGAGGGAGAACGATGAGGTGTTTTACCCCTGTAAAGATTCACAGTCTCAGAAACCCTGTACAGGGTCACTGTGAGTTCAAACTGACTCCACAGCACATAATCACCACCATCAATTGGCAGACGCATACGCTGAAGCCTATTTTTTTAGCATCTTGAGCCCCTCCCCTCAACATTATACCATAAACATGCAATCATTTGTTAAGTAGTCACCAAAGATGACTCAAATGGCGATTCAGTATTCTGTGGTGTGACTAGGCCATCATTTACTCATCTGTTTTAAACTATTCACAGTGTGCTACTGTGAGAAACAGTGTCAATATCCTGGTACTGCCTTGGTTCCTCTTTGTTATAAGGTCACCTATGTGTTGTCACAAGTACTTACCCACAAACGCTCAAGAAATCCAATCTGTACTCATTTTAGTGAGAGTGAAGTTCTTTATTCAATTTTGCAAAATGGGCTCCCAACCTGGTAGATAGGGGCAGACTTGCCGCATAGCCTATACTCCCCAAGAGTTTTATTCACAATGTAGCCCTTATGGCACCCAAGGCCTTAATGACTGTATTCTTATTTATAGTTCCTAGTCCTAGAACAGATTTCTTTCCCCTCTCCCCCAATTCATTCTGCTCACACACCCCTGGGTGTGAATCAACAACCTATGTCTGGTTTAGCAACTTCCTGTGTCTTTTATTCCTGAAGGTGGACCACCTTGAGACCTTCTCACACTACCTCACCACCAGGCCTGGCTATATAACCCCCTGGGTTATAGCCGGAACAATCAAGCCCCTTCCCACCTAGTGCTTGTATCTTACACAAAAGTAGTAGAGACTTAGATACCCTTCAGGCCTAGAACTGAACCCAATCCCCTGGCTCAACTGTCAGCCAAACCATGGGCAGGTCTGTAACATGAACAGTACCACCTGGGAAGTATGCACTCCGTAAAACAGTCAGCAATAGGAGATCAAAAGGACAGCATTTGCCCAGAGATACAGCTCAGAAGGCAGGAAGGGATAGGAAGAAAGGAAGAATGGGAACATGAAACCCAGGGAGGAAGTGGGAAGACTGTGTTATATTGTGGGGACTGCAATCAATGGCATGAAACAAAATGTGTATAAATTTTCGAATGAAAAACCAATTTACTCTATACATTTTCACCCAAATCACAATGGAAAGTTAAATTTTTTTTTAGAAAGACCAACAACAATAAACCATCCTGTAGATAAAATAGTATGTGAGGCTCTTGTTCCGCCCATACTTGGAAGGCTTCCCTATGAGGCCAATGGCAAGGAGGAGAAGGTGATCTGCAGATCCATGGCCTGGGTCTCTGACACCTTTTCTGGGACCTCGGTTTTCCTTTTAGCTCCAAGATTTAGCCTGTCCTCCCCATCCTCTGTCAAACTTGGTCTTCTATGTGCCCTGGTCGCAAAAAAGAGCTGCCCTAATTGCTGAGCCTGTCTGCTTGCTCCGGTGATTTCTGATCCACCCCTGTAACCCTAAAGAAAAGGCCCTCTACTGTCTCCCAGTGCCTTTCCACACAGAAGCACCAGTGTGCCTCCCAAAGGGAGGAGGGGCTTGGTCGATGTAAGCAAGAACTTCCGAGCGCTAGGCACCATCCAGAACGTCTGGTCCAGGGGATCTACACCTTCTATGGAACTCAAGCCAAAGCTGTATTTCCCCCTTGACCTTGTTCTTCGCCACTTACCTTCACTGATGACTCTCTTGCCCTATCTTTACTCCAGGGGAGATCAGGTCCTCCTGGCGCAACAGGACCCCAAGGAGAAAAGGTAAGTCATGCCTGGGGTGATGGGTGACTTTGGACTAAGAAGAGTAGATGTGTGAACTGACCTAAACAAATGGGCTCAGGGAGAGGGACCCAGGTGGGAGTCCTGGGAACAAGGTTCAGATACGGGGTGATGAGTTGAATTAATCCACTGTCTGCAGAGGGTGGACTCACAGGATAACCAGGCAAAAGCTTCTAAAGGCCATGCAATAACCAGGTCAACGAGCTGGTCCTGCCTAGGAGCCATAGAAAGAGGCCAAGGAGGGTAGGCATGACCTGCACACCATTAGAAGGCAATGGAAGGAAAACAGAGACTCTAGAACAAAGTTTAAGGATGCTTCAGGGACAGTAGAGACTGCACCTGGAAATATATTCAGCCCCAAGGACCCAAACTTACATAGTCAGGAACCTGCTCATGAGTCCAGTAAGATTTAAATCCAGTAGGAGTCCTGGTGTAGCACCGTAGGATAAGCACTCACCCTCAAGGTTGGTTTGAACTATAGTGTTGGCAGGTCAAACTGACCAGTGACTTCTTGAAAACCCTATGAGTCAGAACTGACTCAAAGGCACTTAACGACAACAGGTGGATCATAATGAATACATTCCTATGAAAGAAACAAAAAACACATGGAAAAGTACACTGCTGTGATCTCCATGTGTGTAACTGTGTCAGAATACTCAGAAATAAATAGACATGGAATTGTCCTCCCTTTAATTCATAGTTGGGGTTCAGATCTTCCCAGAAAAGGGGTTCCCTTGTGATGTCACTGACTAGCCAACCCGAGTGAAATCTTTCTGGAGCAGAGGTATGAAGGCAGGCCGAGATGTCATTCAGTAGTAAGGGAGTCCAGTATTCACTGCAGTACTGTTCACAATAGCCCCAAAGTAGAAGGACAGAAATGTCTGTCAACAGACAAACAGATAGACTCAGTGCAGCCTGTCCATACAACGAAATAGTACTCAGCCATAAAGGAGAACAAAGTTATTATTCCACAAGGATGAACCTTGGAAACACCCTAACATAGAACACAAAAAGACACATACTGTCTGATCTCATTTGTATGAACTAAGTATGTACAAGGGTAAGTCAAAATGATTGCTACAAAAATCATAAAAACCTATATTAAACAAAAATATCTAAATGTGAAGCTCTTGTCTCCTGACATCTCCTCTGTCCAGGTCTAGGCACTTCTAAAGGCGTTTCCGTCTCTCTAACCCTTCCCCGAAGAGTTTCGTGGTCTTCAGTTTACACCACATCAAAACAGCAACTTGGGCTTCCTTGTTGTTCTTGTTTAGTGCCATCGAGTCATTCCCAACTCATAGTGACCCTGTATAGGGTTTCTGAGGAGCAGCTGGTAAATTGGAACCGCAGACTTTGTTTGTGGTCAAGTGCTTATCCCATAGTGCCACACCAGGACTTCCTTAAGGGACTCAAACTGAGTTCCTTTTCAATGTTCTTTGTGTTTGAGAAACAGAAGGAAGTCTGAAGGAGCAAGATCAGGACTGGAGGGTGAATGGGGGTGTTAAGGTTTCCTAAAGAAATTTGCATAGGGCAGCCCTTTCTGCCTTCAAGACTGAACGGGTGCTTTGTTGTGTTGGGGAAAAAAAATTCCCTGGGACAACTTTCCCAACTTTTTTCTCATCAGTGTGGTTCTCAATTTTTTAAGGCTTCTTTATAGTAAGCCTCTGTGATGAAATATATATCAAGATTCCCCATTTGGAGGCAGAGACAATGATATGGAGAGATGGAGTGGCTGGGGACTTTAGACCCAGAGAGGGAGAGGGGCTATGTGCTGATGACCAGAGGGCAGGCTTGCAGGGTATACCCTTTGGTTGGTTGATGATGCATGGAGGGGACCATAACCATGGCAATGAAACTATATACAATAGGATGAATGTAAAACTAATGTTCCTCCATATAAACTATCACATAAACAAAACATTAAAAAAAAAAAAAAAAAGTCCCCCTTTGGAATTCCAAAAACTAGTCATCATGACCTCTCTTCCTTGAATGTTAGTGGCCCAGCAGATTTCCCTGGCAGACAGTGTTTTAATAGGACCTTTGTTTGAAGGGATCCTAAAGAGACTAAGAAAAGCATGTTCCTGAAGAGAACTTGTTTGCAGCCCTCCACTAATCTCAGAGACATGTTTAAACATGTTTTGTTAGGAATAAACCCATGCATGTATGAACTGGAGTCCTAGTAGCAACAATTTTGACTTACCATCGTATATAAAATACAAAATGATGAGTGGTTACCATGGAGGAGGAGGAGTGGAGCAGGAGAGTTCATTAAGGCAAATTAACTTCATGCTCATGAAGGTGGGATAACTTGGTAATGGTTGTACAATATGCAGATTTTGGTCAATGTCACTAAATTTTACACGTAGACATTGTTGATTTGGTGGAGATTTTGGTGTGTATAGTTTCACCACACACACACACACACACACACACACACACACAACTTCAGGAGCTTCCTGAAAGAGCTGGGCCCTGAGACATTCATGACACTCAAATCAGATACTAGGAATATGATTGGGCATCAGGCACTCAGCATGAACAAAAGCCTGGTATTCTTTATATTTTTATTATTTTTACTTTTAGGAGTAAAAATCCATGTAAACAAATCAACAACAACAACAACAAAAAAGCTATTAGATCTTATCCAGAATTAAAAATAAAAAAATCTTGTTGTTGTTAAGTGTTCTCAAGTTGATTCTGACTCATATCAACCATGTATAGAGTTTCTGAGGAGAAGCTAGGGGTGGTGTTTGAACTGCCAGCCTTCTGGTTTGCAGTCCAGTGCTGTTCCTACAGCATCCCCCAAATCTATGCTTCTTAAAATAGCTTTTTGGACTAAGGAAGACTATAGAGAAATACAAAATAAAATCTAATAAACTTCTTTTCCTCCTCTAAAGCATTTTTTAAAATTTATTTATTTATTAATTAATGTTTTATTGTGAATTATGTGATAGTTTACATGGGAGAACACTGGTTTTACATTCATTCTATCGTATATCATCTCATTGCCATGGTTACAATCCCCTCCAT